AAATTTCTATATGTGGCACGGCACCAGAGTTAAGTTAGGGTTTTTCAAAATGCTGACACACCGAGCTCAAAAGGTTCGCCATAATTGGTAGGCTGTGGTCTCAATTCAGTTTATTGGTTTAGTAGAGAAGACAGGTGAAAAACAAAACAACAAATAACAAAAGCTATCTCCACGGTTCCAAAATTCCATGATTCCAAATACAAGTGGTTCTCAGTTCTTGTATGTTTCAATGCCATTGTCCTTCCCCACCATCCACTGTATACTGATATCTCTGAACTGTCTTTTTGGTTTAACTTGGACACATTAGCTGATGAACATTTTGAGTGCCTGGCATTATTTCAAGTTGTTTTTGTTGTTGGCGGTGGTGTGTGCAGGAGGCAACCAGTCAATGTGTCTCTCCCACATCAATGTTTCTCTCCCCCCCCCGCCCCCCACTTTTTGATAGAGAAGTTAGATTGTGAAAATGTCATTGCAACTATGGCAATAAGGGACAGCCACAAATGGGAAGGAAATCGAGTAGTGATTGCAAAACCACGTTTTATTTTTAAGGGGAAAGTTTTGCAATAAAATGTATTCGCTAAAACAGAAGATCCCCAAGGGTGAAAAGAGATGGCTTACTTTCACCTATTTTATTACTAGGTTATCATTTATTAATGTATCTACTCTGTAAATGTTGTTTAATAGCATATACTTAAGATACCTCAGAAAGAGCTAAGTTTATTCTTAAAGGATCAGATCACTAAGAAGCTGCTAATAAGCCTCTTTGTTTTACTTGGTAGCTTACAAAAGCAATTTATCAAGAACTTCCACTGACCTTTACTAAAATATAAACTCGATACATACACTGTAGGAATTGTCTACTAATTGTTTTACTGAATTATTTTTAAAAATTACTTATGGCTTGCTTAAGCTACTTAGTTAGGATGTACAGAAGACAGGGAGAGTCTACCAGTACCAGTAGCAGTTCAAAAGATTCAGCCAATAATTTGAATATTTACCAAGTTATATATATGCTAGAGGCTCGGTGCATGAAATTCGTGCGGGGGGTGGGGGGGGAGGTCCCTTAGCCTGGCCTGTGCCCTCTCGTCATCTGGAAGCCCTTGGGGACATCCCTCTCACAGTCTGGGACCCCTTGCTCCTTACCGCCTGCCTGCTCGCTGCTCCTTACTGCTTGGCTCGCTGCTCCTTAACGCTGCCACAGAGGTGGGAGAGGCTGCCGCCACCGCCACTGTGCTCGCCAGCCGTGAGCCTGGCTTCTGGCTGAGTGGTGCTCCCCCTGTGGGAGCACACTGACCACCAGGAGGCAGCTCCTGCGTTGAGAGTCTGTCCCCTGGTGGTCAGTGCGCATCATAGTAACCGGTCGTTCTGGTTGTTCCGCCGTTAATGGTTGCTTAGGCTTTTATTATATAGATGCAAAGTACTAAGCTAGATTGTCCTACAATGATAAATATTGTCTGGATATACAAACATAACAACATGGTTCCAGGGAATGATTTCTGGGTCCAATTGGCTTTCCAAAAACTTTGCTAAAAAATCTTTGAACTGCACTAAACGACCTGGAAAATGTCTCTAAAATTTAAGACCACTTTAAGCCTGAAGGAATCATATCATTTGGTACAATTCCCTCATTTTACAAATTAAAAACCTCAAAATCAATTGCCCAAGAACACACACTTGGTGGCAAAGCCTAGGTCAGAAGATTCCCAACTAAGGTTCTTTCTCCTCCCCTGCTTTCTCACTCTTTCCTAAACATTGATTAATTCCTTCTTATGCCCAAGGCCCAAACAATTTTAGGTCACAGTTACAACTTTTGAGTGACTCACAGTCTAGTTTAATAGCGATATGGTAGTCGTTACTTGGCTACCACCAAGTTTGGCTGAATTACAGCTTTTTGAATCCTTAGGGTAGTTCTACTTACAGGTTCCTTGTGATTTTTTCCCTCCCCTGGTTGAACAGCAGTGGGCTGCATCGAATAGTGTGAGGTCAGTGGCCTCTGGAGTTGGACAGACCCAAAAGCTTGTTTGCAAGATTCTTAATCTTGCTGAGTCTCAATGTCCTCATTTGTAAAATGGGTCATAGTTAGCAAAGCTGTGGTGAGAATGCTAATGAACAAAATAAACTAACAAACAAAATAGAAACAAACTCATAGATACAGAGAACAGACTGACAGCTGTCAGAAGGGAGGAGTTAAGGGGGCTGGGTCAAACAGGTGAAGGGATTAAGCAAAAACACCACCACCAAAAACTCATAGACACAAACAACAGTATGGTGATTACCAGAAGGAAAGGGGGTGGAAGCAGGTAGGGGAGGATAAATGGTGATGGAAGGAGACTTGACTTAGGGTGGTGAACACACAATATATAGATGGTGTATTATAGAATTGTACCTCTGAAACATATAAATTTATTAACCAATGTCACCCCAATAAACTCAATTTAAAAAAAGAAAAAAAAAAGACATGCCAAGTGCCTGGATGACGTGACTCAGTGGTTGAGCACTGACCTAAGAACCAGGAGGTTATGGTTCCATTCCCCGTCAGGGCACTGGAGCATGCAGGAGGCAGCCCATCAATGATTCTCTCGCATCACTGATGTTTCTCTCTCTCTCTCCCTCTCACTTCCTCTCTGAAATCAACAAAAATATATTTTAAAAAATCATGATGATGTACCAAATATGGTGATAGGCCAAACAATTAAGTAAATAGAAATGAAGGATACAAGAGATCACATCTCTCTGACAGGATGGAGGTTTAAAGAACAAACTCCAGCTAACTTTATAATCTATTTTATTAGTACAAAAATAAAAACAAAGAAATACAATTTTGTCAGTGCACACAGACAAGAACTTAGACATTCAGAACTCGAGGAATTTATGTTAAGATTCCAAAAATTAATGCTGTGACTTTTAATAGAAAGATTCTTCCATTTTTATGACCCACGGCTATCCACCGTAGTAGAACGTATTTGGGATTTCTCCCAAAATGTGCAAATTTACATAGTACAACTACCTGACCATAACTACCTTTTGTAACTGATTGCTTTCAAGTTGTTTGTGCTTAATTCCACTGAAACTGCATTACAAAAAGGGACTACAGTTGGTTATTGGCAAGAATGAACAAGAATAGTACTTCCATATACAGTTGTCTCAGTTTTCAACACCAAGTTTGGACACTCTTGATATATCAGTTTACCAATAAAAGTCTCATGTGTTCCCCCCAATCCTGCACATTTCTGATTATCGTTATTAGAAAAATACGGCTAGGTCTCTGCTTAATCACCTTGGTATGCCTGTCTTATTCCTTGTGACTTGATTACGTAATTTTGAGTAAAATAAATCACTATGTGAAACAAATATGTTTGGGTAATTAGTTTGGGGACCCTTTAAAATAATGACATACTTTTAATTACCCTAATTGTCATCATTTCTCTCTTTTTTAAATGTTTATTTTTTGTGTACCTGGCTCACTGTGGGAAGTGGTCCTGGGGCAAAGGAGAGAGGGTGGAGCAGAGCCTGAAAAGCAGAGCCTTTTATTTTAATTTTTTTAATTACATGTTTTTATTGATTTTTAGAGAGAGGAAAGGAAAGGGAGAGACAGAAACCCTGATCAGCTGCCTCCTGCAAGTCCCCTACTGGGGATGGAGCACACAATCAGGGCATGGGCCTTGACCACCTAGGAATCAATGGGTGACTTCTTGGTGCATAGGTTCAGCCACACCAGCTGGGCAAGCAGAACCTTTTAAATTTGTTTCATCAAATCCTGTGCCTGTGTGCAGAGGCCGAAGGTTGCACCTCTGGATGAGAAAGTAACCGCTCAGGCTTGGGGAAGGCGAGTGAAGGGGATGCCTGGAGAGCTGCGAGATGGTGGGAAGCTGAACTGGTCCCCAGAAAAGGGAAGCAGAGGTGGCAGGCTGGCTCTCATTTCTCGTTTTGCTGCTTTTTCCTTTTTAAAACAGGCCACAGGCTTATTGGTGTATGTTCTCGATAGAGTGATTTACCTAGAGATCCTATATCTAGCAAACTCAGGAGTCTGTAACACAGTCAAAACTTTTTTAAAATAAAAAGCCCAGCTATACAGAGATATTCCAAAAGTCCATATTTAAAGCATACACATGTCATTACTAGGAAAAGCCTTAAAAAAAACCCCAAAAAACAAACAGAACAAAAAAAACCCCCTCAACCATATGGGGGGGGGGGGCAAAAGTAGGCTTACAGTTGTTTGTATGGAAAATAATACACTAATGAATAAATAATAATACAAGAATAAACTTTCGCTTACTCACAACTGTAAACCTACTTTTGCCCCACTCTATATTACTCTTGTTTAAAAATTTTTACAAGTATCTATAACACAGTTTAGAACCTTAACAAAAAGTAAAAACATTTCCAAGGCTCCATAGTTTTCAAAAAGTGCATATTAATTCATCGCAAAGTACCCCAATCTTGCTCTTGGGCATGTTATTCTTTTAGTTTAGACAAAATTCCTATGAACTCCGTGGTCTGGATTCTTAGCCTGTAGTAAATTACAAGGTAAATGAAGGCCCGGCTGAGGCTGGCACTTCACCGACCCACCTGACAGTAACAGGTCAGTGGGTCACCTTTTCAGGTAACAGAAGAGATATAAGAAGAAGACATAAGGTTTGAAAAATAGCAAACTGGGGTCACTTAGTGAGGAGGTAAACACCCCTCATTAGCTACTAGAGATACTATATATTTGGGTCCAATGGGTGAAATTCATAATAATGACCAGTAATTATTAGAAAAACATGAAAAATATTAAGGATATTACTTTTAAAAAAGTATATATATATATATATATATATATATATATATATATATATATTTTTTTTTAGAATTATTTCTATTTAAAATGATTAAAATGAAATAAGTTGTATTGCTTAGAGATAAGCTTTGATTGTCTGGCTAATACACTTCTGTGGACATCTCACCTCTTTCCCAATAATGTAGGGTAAGTGAGACATATCAAAATAACACAGAAGCATGGAACTAATAAATTGATGTACAATAATATGGTTCATCAGAATAAATGTAGTGCGTTTAAAGGTCACTATCAATTCCTTTATTTTCTAGATTACGTTCTTTTAAAGTTCCCTTTTCCCCTGCACTTGAATATACTATAAAGTCACGAACTTTTCCTTTCAGAACGTCCAGTTCATTTTGCATCTTTAATATGCTGTTGTCGTACTGAAGTCCTTCAAGAGTTTTCTGCATCTCCATGATTTCAGATACTGCTTTCAGCATATCATCTTCCATATTGAACATCTGAAGAGTTAAATCTTCCATTTTCTTTTCTGTCCCTATCAGATCCTGAGAGACTCTGAGAACAGAGCGAATTGCACTTTCAATGGTTGGCAAATGTGTCTTGCATTCCTCAACTTTGGGTTCGTAGTTGGAAAGCTTATTAGTCAGGTCTTCATCTCTGGCCAAGAGAGCATGCTGTTCCTCTTCCAGCTTTTCCACTGCTTTTGCATCAGAGCCCAGCTGCTCCTCGACTCGCAGAAGATCCTCTTCTTCTTGTCTTTTCACTGTTCTGATATTTCTGAGTGTGCTGTCTTCCAGATCTTTTAGCCTTTCCGTGAGCAACTTTATTCCTTGTTCAGCTGAGTTAATTTGGACAGTCACTTGCGAATGCATATGCTTTGATTCTGATTTGAAAGTGTCTGTATCAGCATTCATTTCTTCCAGGCTTCTCTCCCAGAAATTTGTGACATTTTGGAATTTCTCATTAAGGCTTTGCATCTTTTGAGAGAGCATCTCTTCACTAATTTGAATGTCATGCATGATATGCTGGAGGCTGGATACTTCCTGCTCAACCTGGGTCACCAAAGACATGGATGATGTAGCTTCTTGCAGGATACTTTCAGTAGACTCAAGCTGCATTTATAACACAAAACAATTCCCAAGGCTACTTAATAACTTATATATTAGGGAAACATACTTTAACAGTCACGTGCCAATTTCAAATTCTGAAGATGTCTAAAATACCAAGCATATCAGAGCCATACTGGCAAAAACATTTATTATTTTCACGTTGTTTTAATGTATTTAAATTTAACAGATTAGCACTACAGCAGATAAATATACCTGAACTTATAATCCTAAATATTTGCACATTTTCATGGAGGGATATTCAACTGAAAGATAATGCTAAAGGGAGCCTGGAGTATAGCACATTTCTTTCTTTTTTTACTCCAATGGAAAGCAACTTAGTTGTTATTTCTATGGTTATTTGAATTTTTAAGAAACTGTGAGTTAGTTATAAAATTTTTTCACTTTTCTAAATCCAATGATTCTGGAAGAGTTTCTGCCTGAAAAAAAAAATTGGTTGACCGACCTTTGTGGAGAAGATATCAGAATCAGATCTTACAAATATCACAAAGGCAAAATGAAGAAAAAGCTAGTGTAGTGAGACAACTATGTCAAATAGCAAAGTGTCCTAAATATCTGTAAATTATGGTAAGCTCCTGGCATGTCCTCATGTGTCCGGAACATAGGTAGACGAGGTCGTGCGTCTCTCTTAGTCTACACTTACAAAGATAACAGCCTTAGAGACACAGGAAGACTAGAAATGAATATTAATTTATCAAATGTTTGCAGCCTTGTGTTGAAGACTTAATACTGTTCAAGACACAGTTCTGCCCTTAAGCAGCTTAGTGTAATTGGGGTGAAAGCCAAGTCTATATACGCTATGATAGGGGAAGAACTATGGAAGCGCTTACATGGGGCACCCAAACGAGACTTTGATGATCAAGGAAAGTATTCTAGAAGCATTATCTAGTATCTGCTTCTAATTACTTCCTCCCTAAATCATCCTACACACTACAGTCAAATTAAGCTTTTAGGAACTGCTATGTATATCATGGTACAATATGATGTTTCCTAAAATATTGGTACAATATGATGTTTTCTAGGTTCAAGTCCCAAATTCTATAACCTCTCTCTATACTTGTCTTCCCTCCTCTTTGCTTAGCCGAGTTCTGTCCTTCTTTCAAGGCTCAGACCAGATCTCAGCTCTTCAGTGCAGCATTCTCTCATAACCCTAGTCTGACAGCCCAAACTCCTGTACAGCAGCACATACTGTATTATGTATTTGCCACCTATTTGGCACTCAGCACATATGATTCAAGAATTTTTGAGTGTTCACTCTGGGCAGGACCTGTGCTAGACACTGGACATAAAAATATAGATATAGTATAGTCCCTGGCTTCACAATTTGGCAGGGGAGACAGAGATTTGGATCTTTTATATTCTAGAGTTCCAGTAAGACTTATTGAGTGTCCTTTGTTCCATTATTATATAGAGATATAGGAATATAGAGATACAAGACACTGTGATTGGCCTAAAGATCAGTAAAGGAGTCAATTAACAACAACAAAATCACAATAGATTATGACTTGTGTTATGATAGAATTAGCATGGGAGAATGGATGCTTAAGGAGAGGTTAGAAGTCTGGATCTCAGTGAGGGAAGGCTTAGGAAGTGACTCGGAAATCTGACCCCTTAACAGACTGATGAATGAGACAGTGAAGATAGGAGAGCTTCTAAATTCCTTAGGCGAGGAGAGCATATCTGGCATATTTTTGTAGTCCCCGTATCTCGAGGTATAAAGAACATGTTTGCTGATGTTTAGGAAGAAGAATGGTGTCCAGCCGGCATGGCTCAGGGGCTGAGCGTCGACCTATGAACCAAGAGGTCACGGTTTGATTCCCAGTCAGGGCACATGCCCAGGTTGGGGCTCAATCCCCAGTGGGGGGTGTGCAGGAGGCAGCTGATGAATGATTCTCTCTCATCATTGATGTTTCTGTCTCTCTCTTCCTCTCCCTTCCTCTCTGAAATCAATAAAAATTTATTTAAAAAAAAGAAAGAAAAAGAAAGAAGAATGGCCATAAACCTTCTGGGCCCACCCCCATCATACCTGAAGCAGTTCCAGGTGACAGCTGGGAGCAATGTGCAACCCCACTGAATAATATAATCGGACCACTTCGAAACCTTGTTTACAAATTATCTTCAGTGCACACATGTAGCCATAATACAAGTTCCTTTAAAAGCCAATTTTGAGAAATACTTATACTTTGGTAATACTGCTAGGTTTAGTTGTCTTGTTAGCAGCATTTTGAAGAGGCAAGCTTATCTTCCCCAAAGGTAATTTCCTACCTGGACTGTTCATCAGAGCGTCACTATATTCTGGGGCATATATCTCAAGAGTCCCAAAAGTTCAAAAGGATAACAAGGTTTCAAGATTTAATTTGAAAACATATACAGTGACTAGTATACCACAACAGCTGTCATTTATGGGCTGCCAATATATTCTAATAGTTTTTCATTTTTTTAAAGAGAGTGAATACCTTAAATTTATTACTGCTTGAAAGTTTTCAAAGAGTTTACATATGTATTGTATCTCATCTGATCCTTACACAAATTTTGTTATTCTCATTTAATAAATGAGGAAACGGAGGCCAAGAGGAGTTAAGGTGATTTTTTTCTGAGGTGATGTAGTTGTGAGGGAGTCCAGGTCTAGTTGTTTTCTCCTCCTACTGCATGACGCTAGCCGTGAGGATCAGCTTTGTGAGAAGGCAGCTGTTGTTAAACTACTCCTAGGCAGGCTGGGAGAGAAAGAGCTATGCAAAGACTGAATATTTTTTGGATCCTATGATAATATATATTTTAATAGTTAAAAAATCTGCTTTAAAAAGCATTTTATTTGCTACCAAATTTTTCATTTAAAAAGGAAATCTTTCTTCAAAATTTGCTTTCCATAGCTTTTAAGTACATTCAGTTTTTGTTTTCTGACATTTTTTTCTATCATCATCTCCCTGATGAGAGGGGCCTCCAACAATTATAACCAGATTCCAACTTGAGCTCTACGTCAAAATACCAATTCTTTTTTTTTTTAATATTTCTTTATTGATTTTTTTACAGAGAGGAAGGGAGAGGGATAGAGAGTTAGAAACATTGATCAGCTGCCTCCTGGCACACTCCCTACTGGGTATATGCCCGCAACCAAGGTACATGCCCTTGACCGGAATCGAACCTGGGACCCTTGAGTCCGCAGCCCGACGCTCTATCCATTGAGCCAAACTGGCCAGGGCAAAATACCAATTCTTGCAGCTCCTTCCCAGAGGCCCCTAAGGTCACATTCGATCCCCTGGCATGTTCGAGGGGATGTATGATTATCATCCACGGCTTTTACCTTCTGAGGGAATATATGCCCATTTTGTGCATGAAGCTGCAGGAACTTAGACCCTTTATTTTTTTTTCTGTTTATTTTTATAACATTCTTTTTTTAAGTTTTTTTATTTTATTGAATTTTTACAGAGAGGAAGGGAGAGAGAGTTAGAAACATCGATCAGCTGCCTCCTGCACATCTCCTTCTGGGGATGTGCCCACAACCCAGGTACATGCTCTTGACCGCAATCGAACCTGGGACCTTTCCGTCCGCAGGCCGATGCTCTATGCACTGAGCCAAACCGGTTTCGGCTTATAACATTCTTGCTCACCCTGGTGCCAGACACAAGTCCTATCTACCTTATGACTTAAGTAAAGATATAGTGCATGAAGAAATGAACAAACAAGATATGTTTCCCAATGATACTTTGGTCCCCAGTAACCAGGCAAGGCCCACAGATGCCTCGTTGATTACAGCAGACCCTTTCCTGAGAAGTGTAGTAGTTAACATTTTTTTAATCGGTTGCACATTTCTAAGAATCACAGAAATAATGCATCTGCATTTGCAGCTTGAAGAAACACAACAAAGACATGGATTTCAATTTTCATTTGGCTACAAAATCAATATTTATTTTTAGGTTAATCAGTCTTATATGCACACATATATGTTTACCAAGCAGGAAGTAAAGAATAAAACACTGATGAAATTTTGCCCAACAAATGCTTTTTCTATTCTAATTTTATACCAAAATATCAAGCATATACACTTGATATTTAAATAGAAAATTGAGGTCACCTCAATATGAGCATGTTAGTCTTTTCAAACAATAACAGTAGTTGTATTTTAAAAAATTATTTTCCTTTCAAAATGTAATTTAATTCTAAATTGGATTGAAGGGAGAATGGAAAAAGGTAGGGAGACCTGTGAGAGTTAAAATAGCATTGATTAAAAGGCAAAAAAAAAAAAAGAATTTATGAACTGGGGTAGAATGATGATAGGAGGAAGGAAAGTGGAAAAAAATCTTCCCAAATAAGACAATTAATAATTACCTTTTCTGAAATTAAACTGATTTTACTTTGAAGCCCTTGGAATTCGTTGTTTTCTTTTTTCAGTAATTGGTATTCGTTTTCCACCTTTGCAAACTTTTCCGATTGTTGAAATACAAACCTGGAAAAGAAAAAAAAATCACTATCTTACCTAATTCATATCTATTTAAGTCTGAATTTTTAAGGAGTATTTTATACCCACTTCTGGTAAGGACGACATAATTTCTGGTATGGGTACTGGCAGCTTTTATTACTTTATTTCAATAAATATTTAGGTAGGTAGTGGTTAAATGATACTACTCATGCAAAGATGAATGAAACTGCTCCTGTTCAAGTTCACAGCTAGCTCAGTGAGCAAGACGGTGTGATAGCTGTAATAGATATATGCAGACGAAATATTTTGAAGGAGGAAATAATGAATTATTTATTTTTTAAAGGTCTTAGTCTTTGCCTTTTTATTAATTAATTAATTTTTTTACAGAGAGGAAGGGAGAGGGATAGTTAGAAACATCAATGAGAGAGAAACATCGATCAGCTGCCTCCTGCACACCTCCTACTGGGGAAGTGCCCGCAACCAAGGTACATGCCCTTGACCGGAATCCAACCGAGGACCCTTCAGTCCACAGGCCAACACTCCATCCACTGAGCCAAACCGGTTAGGGCAATAATGAATTATTTAGAAAAAAAATGTGATCTCTACTATTTTGCCTATGTAAAAAAAGGCATTTTTAAATGAAAATGTAAAAGAGAAAAAAAAGCAAGCAGTGGAATGGAAGAAGACATGATGGTGATTAGAAGTTGCAAAATAACCAGACTCAAAACTGATGAACACAGGAGTCACTGTTAAAGTGACAACAGAACACATATGCAGTGCAAGGTGTATCATATACACAATTGTTTATAATAAGAAATACACGTCATATCGATGTACTTTGGATGTCCTAAAATTGGAGTGTTTTTCCATCTGGCAGATAGTGCAGGGTAGAAGCATGAAAAAGTTATCCCAGTTTTAAAAACTATAAATGGACTGTTTTGTGTTTAGAACTTGAAATGAGCAAGCACAAAAGACATGCTTCGAATCTAGTACCATTCTGGTCCATCTACTTTGACTCAATTCTTTGGGATCTGAAGGAGCAGCAGTTGAAATTCTTCGTGTGTTTGATGTATCAAAAAGCAGTGGAAGGTTGGGAGGAGGGGGGCAAAAAGGGAGAAAATGGGAGTAATCTGTAATGCTGTCCACAATAAAAAGAAAAAAAGAATAATAGCATGACACAGCCAGCCATTTTTCTATCATATTCAATTTTTAATAAATTTCTGCTATTAGTACAAAAAAAAAAAAAAAAGGCAGTGGAGCCTTGTTCAGGTGGCTCAGCTGGGTGGAGTATCATCCTGTACACCAAAAGGTTGCAGGTTCAATTCCTGGTCAGGGCACATACCTAGGTTGTAGGTTCGATCCTGGATGGGGTGCATACAAGAGGCAACCTATCAATGTTTCTCTCTCTCTCAAATCAATAAAAACATATCCTCAAATGAGGATTGAAAAAAAAAAAAGGGCAGGTGGAGCAAAACCCATGAAGCCAGTGTCTAAATCGGAGTACATAGACCAGTGGTTCAAAAGCTTTGCTGCATATTGGAGTCATCTGGCAGTTTTAAGAAAGTCTGATGCCTGGGTCACACACACAGAAATTCTGATGTAATTGGTTGGGGATTTGACTTGGATATTGTAAAATTTAAAAGCTTGCCACGTTATCTGAATGCTCAGCAAAGTAAAAACCACTAATTGACACTGGTTTGTGAAATTGACTTCGGAAGTCAAATATTTAAAGATCCCAAAATTCAATGGAGGGGTAGAAGATATGAGTTTTGTGCATCATTGCAAAGGTGGTGACATTTCAAACTCATAAATTTCATCATTATGCTGTTTCTATAAAACTGTTCAAAGCTAAAATAGACTTTTTGCTTTTTAAACAAATGTTTACAATGTCAGATGAAATAAATTTATTTTAGTGATGGCTCCCATCCATTCTATAACACTGAATGTGCTAATAGGAACTTTTAAATAAAACTTCTGGTTATTAGAAAACGCCATTATCCTATTTTTTAAAGATGGATATGTAGACTTAATTCTCTTTTGATTGGTTGTTTCATTCTTGGCTTTTAAGAGGTTCTTTTTAGAGTATAGGCTTATCTGAGACCAACAGACCAAGGATAGAGACCATTCTAAAGAAATACATCTAATTTCAAGGACTTTAATTCTGAAAAACTAATTTTTAAAACAGGCTTTTTAACAGGAGCAGTTCAAAGCCTTTTTACACCCATCTTCCCCAGTTTAGATGAGACAAACAATTAGGGTCTGCTCAGGGCTACAGCTTGTAGTTGAAGAAAGAAAAGAACTATAAGTAGTTCTGGAGTAAAGATTTCTATCTCTAGGCCTTGCCTCTTTTTAGATTAATAATACTGGTTGAGTGTGGATTTGGGCAACTTTGGCTCTGCCATTTACTAGCTATATAACCTCGCTGGGTAAGCTATTGAAGTTATCTTTGCTAGTTTCCTCATCTGTCAAGAGGGGATACTACTACTACCGAGTTCATAGGGTTGTTGTACAGATTAAATAGGTTCTTATTTACAAAGCTCCTAGAGTCTACAGTGCCTAGAGCAGGGGTGGGCAACCCCTGGCACGTGTGCCAAACATGGCACGCCAGTAACTTTTGCTGGCACTCAAAACCCTCTCTTATAATCTTCCATTTACAATTTTTTTCTTAATATTGACTTTTTTATTTTTCAGATAAATTCACTGTAGGTGCATCTTAGATAAATAAATAATTTTACATAACCAGTTATCTTAAAGACCATAGACATGGATTGACGAGAGAGGGGAAGAGCAATTTCTATGCCTCTGCCTTAACTCTCCCTGCCTTCCTAGATCTGACGGGTGTTTTGGTTTCATCCACATACGCTTGTGAATCTTTGTTCTCAGTGATGAATTTTGTTAAGTCTTGTAATAGGAGTAGCCTGACGGATAAAAGTAGTAGCTCATGCATATCTCTGAAGGTCACGAAATATAAACCTGATGTAAAATCTCTGTCATCAGTGATGCAGCAGCAAAAGTCCCACTGATAATATCAAATGGAGTCATAAAGTTTTCTGTCGGACTATCAGTGTACATGTATACATTAAAAAATAAATGTATTTTTCATCATCATATACTGTGTTTTTGTTGCTCGAATGAATTTTATTATTTCTTCAAGGTTCTTCACATACGTACACCTTAAGAGTATCAAGTAGGCGTAAGATGTTCTCAAAAAATTAGGGTTGGCACACAGAAGAATTTTGAGTCAGAGATTTTGCTGGTTTTGGCACGCACTCACAAAAAGGTTGCCCACCCCTGGCCTAGAGTGTAACACCTCAGCTGTTCTCTCGTACCCTTGCCTTTTCTTTTGGACTGCATTGTGCAGCTACTTTGCCATCCTTCTGACAAGCCTATAGTGGGTGATAGAAACCCCAGGCTTATCCCCCTTTGAAACCAGGGTAGGTTTTATAGCAAATGAAGGATGCAATGAATGGATGAGACCTCGAACAGGAAAGAGAATAGCTCTTATTCTGTTTTGGGCCTCTTCTCCTTATCATATAGGTAAAGGTCTTGAAGCCCAGCTAGTGTTGCTCAGTGGTTGAACGTTGACCCATGCACCAGGAGGTCGCTGGTTCAATTCCAGGTCAGGGCACATGCCTGGGTTGCAGGCTCACTCCAGTGGCGGGGCCTGTGGGAGGCAGCCAATTGATGTTGATGTTTCTATCTCTCTCCCTTTTTCTCTCTAAAATCAATAAAAACATATTTAAAAAGAAAGAAAGAAAGGTCTTGGAGGCTTGGAAATGTAGGAGAACAGGATCCATGTTAATTGGCTACCATAGTAGGGTTTACAAAAGGAACCTTTCTGACTCCATAATCCACTGCAGTCTATAGAGACTTCATACAGATCCAGGGCCCTATAGTATTAAACTGCATTTCCACGTTGTGCTGCCTCTGCACAGCACCTTTAAGACTCTGATAGTGGCAGACAGCTGATTGAGGACTAATATTTTATAGGAGTTTCCCTGTTTCTGTTTCAACTTAATGAGAAAGAGGCAAATTACCAAAGGAAACTGTTATTATGGACCTTCAGCAAGAAAGGAAGTTTCAGGGCTACTGCTAGGGTCAGTGCCCCCTTAGTCCTGTTTCATTTTTAGCATAATACTGAATGGTCAGAAAAACATTGATTATATTCCATTTTTTTAAAAATATATATTTTTATTGATTTTGGAGAGGAAGGGAGAGGGAGGTAGAAACATCAATAATGAGAGAGAATCATGGATCGCTGCTTCCTGCACACCCCACACTGGGGATTGAGCCCACAGCCCAGGCATGTGCCCTAATCAAGAATCCAACCCTGACCTCCAGGTTCATAGGTCGACGCTCAACCACTCAGCCAGACTGGCAAGGCAAGAATAAACTATCTTTTAGATAAAACATCATTAACAAAAAGCTGAAAAATGGGGTTAGCTGTGATTTTGCTGTATATGACTTGTAGTGTGTTAGATGATAGATAAAAAAAACCTGAGTTAGCTGGCTGTTTAAAGAGCTTTTGACTTCTTATACATAATTATCACAAATGTGTTGAAAAAATTTTATAAAGGCAATTTAGAAATCTGTTGAAACTTCCAAGAACACATTTTTTTTTTACACTGGAACTTTTGGTTTTTAATTTACATAATTAAATAAGCTTGTAAAGTATCATTTGTGTCTTACTTAGTAACTACACAACTTTTAAACTTTTTGAAAGCAGAATTTCTTCAAAAATTTTCTTAAGAGTTTACAAACAGTATGCAAGCTAACACTCAAAGCCATATAGTCTTGAGCAACTGTTATCTCCAACATCTTATTGTTAAACTGACAAGTCAGGACTTTATCTGTTACACATTATCTATTTACTTTCTAAACAAGAATTCCAAGCCTACAGGCCTGGAAGCACTGGAGTAGAGATGTCTTGAAATCCTCCTGAGGCAGTGGAAGGGTTTAAACTTCCCCTCCCAATTTAATCTAAGTGTAAGAAGATGGATAAACTGTGTTGACAGGCACATGTTCAATGTTGTATTTTAACAATAAGGACAATGTCAGTACAATAAGCATTAAGTATTTGACCAACTGACCTGTAGATGCTGAAGCATGTGTTCTAGAGGTAAAAAAATTTCGATGGCTTTGTTGTAATTCTCGTATTTTGAGATGCCAAATGTTTATTTGGAAAATACTTGCAAATGTCTTACCAGAATAATTTTTCATTCCTGAATTTACCATGAATACATATTTTGCTATAAACAGTGACTGAAGTATTTCTACTTCCAACTCTTGTGGCAAAAGATTTCACAAGAGCAATTAACAGTCAGCTATTTTAATAACA